CCGCCAGATCCCGCGGCAGGAGGGGTGACGGCTGCGCGTGCTCTTCACAGGCGCCTGCGGGGGGACGCCCCGCCCCCTCCCTCGAGCCGGACAGATGGGCCGGGAGCTGACCGCCCCTGGGCTGGGCCCACCTGCCTGAGGATTCAGCACAGAGTCCCCTGAGGCCTGGGGGTCATCTGAGGCGGTCATGTCCAGCCAGGGAGTGACCCCCAGGGCGCAGCAGATCTCTGCTGTCTCAGCCGTGCGTCTCAGTGGATCCGCCTGTGGGCAGCATCGGGGAGCGGTGGGCAGGGTGGGGGTAACGGGGGACACACTCCAGGAGCGCGGATGGGGCCTCGGGGCGGGCGCTCCTCCGACCCCTCCTGGCCCACACTCCCTGCAGCCCCCGGGGCTCCGGTCCGCTCTGGGGGGAGAATTAGTTGCCAGTGTTGGCTGTTCTACGCAGTTCGATAGTTTCACCCCCGTTCCTCGGTTTTAATTGAAACAACTTTTCATCAAGCTTTGTGCCGCTGGTCCCTCGGCGTGAGGGGCCCCGGCCTTCTGGGGCGACGCCAGAGCAGGGCGCCCTGGGCAGGCGGGGAGGCCCCGTGGGCGCTTGCGTCACAGGAACAAGGGCGTGTTACTGAACGGTCGTGGCGTCAGGTAGTTTAGTTTCAATCCTCGCCTGGCAGCAGGCCCCCAGCATGCCCGTCACGGACGCCAGTTCTGGCGAGGGGAGGGCCGCGGGGGCACCACGCACAGGCCTGGAGGCGGCGGCGTCCCGGGAAGCTCCTTCCGAGCTGCCGAGGGCAGCCTGCTCTCGAGTGTGCCCCGGGCTGCCCTCCGGTGGGCAGGCAGCGCCCTGCAGTGCTCCGGTGCCCTGCCCGGTGCCAGCATGTGCCTGGCGTCGCGTGCAGACGGTGCCCGGCCCTGCCCACGCCCTGTCCCGCCCCGTCGGGCTAAATGGCGCCTTCTCCACAAACCCCGCCCCCGCGGTCTTGTGATGTCCGTCCCCCCACCCCCAGCGTGCTCTTGGGGATCCTCTGAAAACGGGGAAGCTCCGCTCTCAGGTCACCGTGGAGCCCGGCGGCCAGTGTCCAGAGGGGACGCAGCAGCGCACAGATGGCCCTGCTCGGGGTGGTCGACGCGGCCGCAGGCGCGAGAGCCAGAGGCGAGCTCCGCAGCGGGGTGCGGGGTGGCCGGTAGGCGCCCCGGACGGCGCAGCACAGGCGGGAGTGGGCGCCGCTGCTGAGAGGGCTGGGCCTCCGGGGCCGGAGTGGCCGCAGCGGCCACGAGACGCGCCCCAGGGCTCGCCGCGGCTCACCCGTGTGGGTTTCGTCTGTTCTAACACGCCGGAAGGAAACGTAGCCCGTGGGAGGCACGAAGACCCGCGGCCCCAGGTCAGTCCCCAGAGTAATGGCCCCTGCCCTTCAGGCAGCTGCGGCCCTCGGGCTCTCCCGCCAGGACGCGGCTGGCCCCGCCAGGGGCGCGAGCGGCACCAGCTGGCCGCATCCTGGCAAGGGCCTCCTGGCGGTCCCTCAGGCTGAAAACTTGCTGGGGGTGGGGCGCAGTGGGGGCCACAGGGGCTGGACATGAAGCCTGCGGAGCCAGCCGTGGGCAGGGCCTGGCAGGGGTGAGTGTGCAGAGCTGCGGCCTCCCCAGGGGAGCAGGAGGTGGGCTGGCCGGGCCCCGTGAAGCGGCGGGACAAGGGCCCGGTGCCAGTCACTACCACCTCGCTCCCCGGCCCCCACCCCCGCCCCCTGGGGAGGCCGCCCGGCTGTCCTGACCCGGGGCTGCTCGGTCTGGGGATGGAGCTTTCCCGCTGGAGGAGCCTCTGCTTCTGGGGGTCCCGGGGTCAGTGTCCCGGTTAGGCTGCGCCTGGGGGAGTGCCTGGCGGGGGCCGTGGAGCAGGTGCCTCGAGAAAGCCACTCCCCCGGGACAGGCCAGCACTGTCTGTCGCAGGAGAAGGCAACTGGGACCCGAGGCCCCTCCCTGACCTCCAGGCCCTGCCCGCCCTGGCTGGAGAGGTGCCCGCAGCCCCCGGGCCGCCTCCACGCACCCTGGGCACCTCACGGGGCGGGAGCTTTGGGAGGGGGCAGGGAGGGGCGTTTCTGCAGCCCGCCGCGGCCCCTCCCCCGAGTGCGGGGGGCGAGTGGGGTGCCGTGCGCCCTCACCCCCGAGCGCAGCACCCGCGGGGACACAGGACTGGCCCTTCCGCAGAGCCCACACCTGGCTGGTGTGTCCCACCTGGGGAGGCTTTTGGCCCCTCCAGGCTCCCCTGTCCCACCCCAGCGGGACCCAGGCCCCTCCCACACCCCTGGGGTCACCAGCCCCAATTCTGGGCTGGGCCCTGGTGAGAGTCCCCGGGAGCAGGAGGCAGTGGTGGGCGGAGGGGTGAGAGCAGGGCCAGGGGCCCCGAGGCTGCGGTGGGGGCACCCGCGGGTGTGGGCAGGGCACAGGCAGCAGCGTGGGGCAGGGGCAGGGGCAGGGCAGTCCTGCGCTGAGGGGGGGGGGCCTAAGGTGCAGGTGTGGTGCTCGAGGGAGCCCCCACAGGGACCCCAACAGAGCGGAGGCTGGAGACCCAGGCAGGCGTGCACGTGCACACACACGGAGACACGTGTGCACACAGGCACTGCACACACAGCACGCGTGTACAGCACACAGGCAGACACGCTTGCACACATGACCGCCAGCCTGCACACACACGCACACACAGACGCGCGCGTGCACCCACCGCACAGGGCGGGGCGGGGCGTGACGGGACACACAGGGACACCCGCCCCTCCGCGAGCTGCAGGCCCCGGGACTCCGGCGCCCACCACCGCGGGGCCCCCAGGAGCTGCTGCCCACGGCCGGCGGGCAGGCCTGGGAGCTGACGCAGGCGGGGCAGGGCCCCCACTGTGGGGCGGACGCGGGCTCCTCTGTGGGTGCTGGTCGAGGGGCGGCGGAGCCGCCGCGGCCGCGTTTACAAGCACTGCCCCCGGCGTCTGCGTAGACACGGGCGGACGGTGCCTCCAGCGCCAGGCTCGACGTCGGCGCATGGGGTGCCAGGAGTCCGCGGCGAGCCCCTGGCCGCGCTGGGTGGGGTGTCCGCACACTCGGCACAGGTCGCTGGCAGTGGAGGGCGGGGCGGGGGGAGGCCTCCGTGGGGCCAAGCGCCAGGCCAGGATCTCGCTGGGTCCCGGGGTCACTCCCTGCCGGGGGTGGCCAGGGCTCCCTTTCTGGGCCAGGCGCGTGCTGGCCCCACGAGCCCGTCTGGGAGCAGCCCGCAGGCTGGACGGCGCCCTCCTGCCACCTCTGTCCACCCCATGCCGCTGGACCCGGGGTGAGCGGGCCCCAGCGGGAAGGCGTGGGCTCCGAGGGCCTGGAGCTTGTGTGCTGCGCAGGGCCGGCCTGACTACGGCGGGGGGCGGGGGGGGGCGCCACTGGCCACAGGCAGGAGTCCGGGGCAGTGGCAGGGTCTGGGGTGCCAGTGGGTGGCCCCAACCTGCACTGAGGCCCTGCCAGGCCGGGTCTGCCCCCGAGACGAGGCCAAGGGCCATGTGGGCACAGAGGGGCCTTGAGGGCAGTGCCCACTGCACAGGCGTCCCCAGACACAGGAGGGGCCGGGGGCCGCCCCCACCTCACTCCCAGTGGCCAGTGCTGCGGCCAGGGGCCCCGGAGGGGCAGGAGGACGTAAGCTCACGGTCACTCTCCTGGGTGGGGCCCCCTCCCCTCCCCGCCCCTCCCTTCCCTCCTCCCCCACCAGACTGTCCCGGCCCCCCCCCAGCTCTGTCTGGGGCCCTGATGGGCGTGAGCGTCACGGGTCACGGGCACCACAGGGCGGGGGGGGGGGCGGGGAGGACAGCCCGCCCCACCCCCACCCCGCAGCCTTCCTGGAGAGGGGCCCCCCCACAGGGCTCTCTGCCGGGTCTGTGCCCCACGCCCAGGGGCCTCGTGGAGACCCCACCTGCCCTGCCCCCCGACAGCGCAGCCTCGGCCTCCCCCAGAGCAGGAGGTGCCCCAGAGCCAGTGAGACCTTGGTGTGGACACCCGCTGGCCCTGGGCTGCCCGCCCATCTCCGGGGGTGGGTGGGGCGGGGAGGGAGAGGCGGTGGCCCCCGGGCCCCACCGCGGGGAGGGAGATGCGGCTGGGGTCCCGCACAAGGGCGGGGCCAGCGCGTGTGCCCAGGCAGCGCCCCCAGTGGCCGGCTCCCGCCCAGGGCCTCCAGGGGCCGCGGGGGTCTGCTCCCACCACGGCCCTTAGGGACTCACTGCCCCCACCTCGGGGACGGAAGTGTCCCAGCCTCCCCCTCAGGAGCCCCTGAAGAGGTGGGGGCTGGACTCGGGCCGCACAGGGGAGGGGCCGGACCCGGCAGGCAGACCCCAGCGCTGGCCCAGTAGCCCGTCCACCAGGGGAGGCACTGCCCACGGCGTGGTCCTGGCCGGTCCTGGTTTCCCGGGACCCTGGAGGGGAGCTGAGCCGGCGGCTCAGGTGGGGGACAGGCGGGGGGCGACACTGGGCTGGCGGGGCCTAGCGTCCCGGGTGACCACACCCAGAGCCCCTCCCGTGAGGGGCCACCTGGCCTGGCCCCAGGCCCTGCCCCTGCTGCTGTCCCAGGCCCCACTGGGGGGCGAGGGTCCAGGAGGACCCCCATAAGGGCCACGCCAGCTCCCAGCAGCAGGGAGGAGCCCTGCCGGGGGTCCCCAGGGCCACACGTCCGGGGGAGGCCGCTGCCTGGACGCTGGGGGCTCGGCCCGGCCCCCTCCCTGCTGGCCGCTGCTTGTCACTCCGCTGTTTGCTCCCGCCTGGGCAGGCCTCTCCCCGTTTGTGGCGAGAACCCCCCGGGCCCTCCCGGCCCCCGTGTGACGCCCGGAACCCCTGGCGCCGGCCCCTCCGCAAATGCAGCCTCTTCCAGGGACAGCCACGCTGCCCGTCCGCGGCCGGGAGCCGGGCCTTGACGCCCGAGAGCAGACGGGAGGCCGTCGGGGCAGCGGAGCCCCGGCCCCACGCCACGCCACGCAGACCACGCGCTGGTGGGGAGGGCGCTGCCCGCTGTTTACTCGTGGACGAGCCACCCTGGAGACAGACGGGCCGGTCCCGGAGGCACCTTGCCCGTGGGGGCGGGGAGGGGCGCGGGGCGGCTCCCTGGGGCTGGACGCTACGTGACCGCGGGGTCGGCGATGCCGTGGTCGGGGTTGCAGGTGAAGGCGATGGTGATGGCGTAGCGGGTGCCCCAGCGCACCTTCTCCACCCGGTGCAGGTTCTCGGAGCCGGAGGTGAAGAAGGAGACACGGCCTGGGAGGGGAGGCTGGTGACGGGGGCAGCCCCGGCCCTCCCATCCGCCCGGCCCCCACCTGCCCCGGTCCCGGCTCCCCCCTGGCCCCCCGCACCCCGCCACCCCCGCCCACCGGCTCTGGGCTCCACCGTCCGGTTGGCCCCGTCCTCCAGGAACACGAAGCGGCCCCCGCCAAAGTCGTGCAGGTAGTCGGAGAGGTACAGCAGCAAGGTGTAGTCGAAGGAGCCGTAGGTCACCTGCGGGCCGGCGGCCAGGCCGAGCGCCCAGGTCAGGGAGGGCGGCCAGGGCCCTCCAGCCCAGGGCGGAGGCGGCGGGCGTCCCGGGGCCCGGAGGGGGCGAACGCGATCACCGCCGCCGCCCCCACGTCTCCAGACCAGTCCTCCCACCCAGGCCCAACCCTGCTGCGCCCCCCCCCAGCCTGTCTTCCCCTCCCAGGCCCTGCACGGGCCACCGGGGGCTCGATGGCTCAGCAGGCCCAGGGAGGCGGGTCCCCCGGAGGCGTCCACACCTTCGTATCCCCTGCAGGGGCTCCCCGGGGCTGGCCCACCCACCAGCAGGCCCCTCCCAGCCCTACCCACGGGCTCCGGCCGCCCAGGACCCACCACCTTGGGGCAACGGACACTGGCCCTCAGCTGACCAACCGCGTCAGGTGCCCCAGGTCGCTGGCGCATCCTCCACTCAGCCCCCAGGGTGCCCCCCACCCCGCAGCTTCCACCTCGCTCTGGCGTCAGGAGACCCTGGTCCCCCCGGCATCCCGGCAACCGGCCGCCACCAGCCTCCGGCAGACGCTGGCCCCACCATGCCGTGCTGGCCGGCTGCTCTGCGCGCCGGGCCGGCTTCTCGGAGCCCGATCGGGGTCACCCAGCAGGCGTGGCCGTGGCCAGGAGGCCGACAAGAGGCAGGGACGCCCCATGGACACTGAGAGGCAAGCGGTCAGCCCAGCGAGGGAGGACCGGGGCGGGCGGCGCACCTTGTCCACGTGGGCGTGCCAGTACTCGTCGTGGGCCGTGCGGGCGGCCGAGCTGTTGATGCGGGAGAAGAAGGTGGGCTGGGTCAGGTGCAGCGCGGACGCGCTGATGCCGAAGGCCTGGGCGATGGCGCGCTGGACCTTCTGCCGCACGTCCCTGGGGAGGACGGGGGTCAGCGGGGCGCGGAGGAGCCACCAGGGGTCCACGGGGGGGAGGGCCCCACGGGGGGCTCCAGGGGGGACTCCGGGGGGATGGGAGGGCCCCATGGGGTTGCCAGGCCAGCAGCAGACACGTGGCTGGTGGGACGGCCCCGCGGCGCACAGCCCTGAGGACAGGAGTCTGAGGCGGCTCCTCTCGGGGGTGGGCTGGGCGCCAGGCCCAGGGGACAGTGCTCGCGGGACAGACGCGGAGCAGATGGGGTGTCGGGGGGCTCCCGGGCCGGGTGGAGGGCACAGTCCCCGCGATCTGATCATCCCACAAAGTCTTCCTGAAAACGACTCCAGGCAGGGCTGCTCCTGGGGCGGGGCTGGGCCGCTGTTGGGGCGCAGAGGTCCCAAGTCCAGCGACGAGACAGGCCCCAGGCAGGACGGGCTGCACGGCAGCAGCAGGCCTCTGGGCCGGCTCCGCCCCACCAGGGCCCCAGCCACACGCGGGCGTCGGGGCCAGGGACGGCCGCGGGGGATGTGAGGCCTGTCCCCTCCCGCGAGCACCATCATCCAGCCGGACCCATGGCCACCGGGGCTGCCCTCTGCACCACTCCCTGGGCACACGAGGGCGTCAGTGTGGTGCCCGCTGCGCTGCCGAGGATGCCACAGGGCCCCTGAGCTCAAGCAAGGACAGCAGGCGTGGGCGGGCGAGGGTGGACATGCTGGGTGGAGGGGGGTGCGGGTGGGGTGCAGACGGGGTGGGTGGTCTTGATCCCTCGGCTCAGCTCCCCGCGCCCCGGAACACACCCGCCCCGCGCAGGTGGACGCGGGCCCAGGCCGGGGGCCTCACCGGTACAGCTGGAAGTCCTCTTCCGAGAAGACGTTCTGCGCTCTCTCCCCGAAGTACCTGTGACAACGCGGGGCGCTGACCCACGCTTCCTCCACCTCCTTCCCGTGACTCCCGCCTCCCAGCACAGCAGCCAGCCCTGCCCTGGTGCTGCCCACGGGGCCGAGCATCTCCCAAGGGGCAACCTCCCGCTGGGGACCCGCCCGCCTCCCCCCCAGGAGACCCTGCAGGGCGAGCCCGGCTCTCACCTGTACAGGTTCACAAAGTGCTTCCCCACAGACAGGGCCCCCGAGTGCAGGTCCAGGATGGACGCCTGGGACAGTCCAGTGGGGCACGTGGTCAGGGCTGGTGGGAGAGCCGGCCTTGCTCCCCACCCTGCGCCCCTGCGTGCCTCCTGCTCCCCCTCACTCCTGCCAGCTCTCCACCCCAGTGCAGCTGGGACAGTCTGGTGAGCCCCGGGAGTGCACGTGCACCCCACTGAACGGACGCGGCCATCGGTGGGGCAGGAGCACCCAGAGGACCTGCCCACCCTCCGCCTCCCGCTCCTCCGGGACTCACCCCTCCGTCAGAGCCGCCCAGGGCCAGCCCCTTCTCCGCTATGCTGTGGGGAGAGGGCGCGGTCAGAATCTTCCCGAAGCCCCGGCAGGTCCCGTCAGCAGCGCTAGCCGAGGGCCACACCGGTTCGCCTTCGACGCCAACACGCAAACAGGGACTCTGCCGCCTCGTGACAGGCGCTCGGCCGCCCCGACCTCGGGCCCACATCGAGGCCGAGCCCAGTCCAGCAGCTCCCGCGCCCGCAGCGCTCCCCGGTTATCCAGCCCGGCCTGCTGACCGCAGCTCAGGAGGCAGAGGCCGGCACTGCCCAGCGGGCCTGAGCCCGGAGCGGCCCCGGAGGAAGGGCAGCCGTGGGAACGTGGGGACCCCGCCCCGCAGCCCGGCAGCAACGGTGGGGGGGGCACAACGGCCAGTGCCCCTCCAGGGCGCGCACGCGGGCCCGCGCCGAGACCAAGCGCTCAGAGATGCTCTCTGGCCGGACGGGGAGAACCTGGCCAGCTGCGAGGGCTGCCTGCCCTCCCTCCGCGACACCCGAGGGGCGGAGAGGGGTGGACCCCCTGCCCCCCGCACCTGCCCTCCCAGGACCCAACACCCGCCGGGCCCTCCGAGGCGCACGGGAAAATCCCAAGAGGCGAGCGGGCGCAGTTTCTGCCCCAACCCCCACCCCCGGTCGCCCCTCCGGCTCTCTTGCTCAGTGGGCGCTGACCCTGCAGGCGCCGGGGAGAGCACAGAGCCCCGAGGTACCTGCGGATGCGCCGGGCTTCCTCCTGGGTGATGACCGTGTCGCTGACACCCCGCCCACACCTGCGAGGGGAGCATCCTGCAAGGACGGCGGGGTGAGAGCCACTTCAGGGTCGCAGCGACTGGGCCGCGGGGCCCCACCTCGGGGAGACCAAGGCCGCTGCCCAGGCTCCGATCCACGAGTTCTAGGCCCCCGACCACTGCGGCCAGCGCGCTCGTGGCTGACCTGAGGACACGAGCTCCGCGGCCCGCACACGCGAGGGATCCTCCGTCCACAGCCTCACCCCGACACCCACTCCCCTTCCGCGCCCGGAGCCTCTCCATGTTTCAGGGCGCTGAGCTCTGTGCCCCCAGGCTCCCCCCAACTCTAAGCCAGCCCCGTGCCCCCCCCCGCCCCATGTTGACCTCCCTGACCTCCCCCATCCTGACCTCTCCCTCCACCTGCCCACTCCTGCCCTGCCCTGACTGCCCCTCCACTCCGTCTTCCACTGTGCCTCTGTGGCAGGGCAGGGCAGGGCCTCTGGCATGACTTTCTCCAGGACACCCCACCTTCCGGTCCCATTACTCCCCTCCTCAGACCGCGCCCACAGCTGGGCACCCCAGCAAGGCCAGGCCATCGCCTGCGAGGCCAGTCCGGGTGTGGCGGGCCAGCCTGGGGGAGGGGGGAGGGGGAAGGGCACTGCCCCCACTGGCCGGCCTGGGGGAGGGGGGAGGGGGAAGGGCACTGCCCCCACTGGCCGGATTCCCACTGACTGGCCACGCACCTTCAAACCGCCGGTGACCGTCGTAGTCGTCCGAGCAGGGCACCTCGATGAACCTGCCGGGCAGGACCTCGCCGCGGCCAGCCAGGACCTCGGTGACGCCGTCGTCGGCCCCCTGGCCGCCCCAGAGCAGGAGCACGGCCAGCGCGGCGCAGGCCCCCAGGACGCCGGCCCTCAGCCACCTCCTCCGAGCCTCCCTTGGCGCACGGCCGCCCTTCCCGCTGCGGAGGAAACAGCAGCACTGCAGGACGATGGCAGCCGGCCCACCGGTCACGGCAGCGCCCCGGCGGGGACGGCACGGCCACGGGGCAGGACCAGCACCCCGGGAGGCCTTCCAGTCCCCAGCGCAGGCCACGGTGAATGCCTGGAAGAGGCCCAGCTCCAGAGCGGCCGCCCTCCCTCCCGTGCCCTGCCGGACTCTGCGGCCTCGGGGCTGTGGCCCTGCCCGACAGGGGCTGCTGGTTACCACCGCGGGCTTGGGCTGTGTCTACCTGGACAGAGCCTGCTGGGGCAGTGGAAAGGCCCCCCTCATTCCCTGCCCCAGCCTGGGGCCCGGCGCCTCCGGGGGCCAGGCAGGGAGCCTTCCCCTGCATCTACGCATCGCCCTGGCCCCGGGGGTGGGTGTCACGGAGGGATGAGGGCAACTAAGTGGGATGGGACCCGGGGAGGGGGCGTCTGGGCAGCAGCCCACAGGAGTGGGCAGGTGGGCTGCCCATCCCCACCCTTGTGTGTGCCCCCCCACCCCCCAGGGCTGGCCCCAGCCCCCGCCCCGCCCCCGCAGCAGGCTCGCGGGAGACCGGAGTAGCCTGTGGGGCTGCTGGACACAGGCCAAGCCAGGCGGGGGGTCAGGCTGGTGGGGGGGCGGGGGGCGTGGAGAGGCTGCGGGGAGGGCAGGGCTGCCTCTGCTCCCGCGGGGCTCTGGTCTCCTGCCCGGGGAGGCCACTGTCCGGTTGGGCTAGGGCAGGGTCTCAGGCCCAGTCCAGCCTGCCCGCCCCAGCCCGCGGCAGGCGCCGTGCCCCAGGGCAGCAGCTGGGGTTGCGCGTGAGAAGGGGCAGCCCAGTGGCCGAGAGAGCGGGGCGCCTGGGCCCCAGGGGAGTGGGAGGCGGGGCAGGCCCTGCCAGCAGCCTTGGCCGTCCCTGTCCAGGCCCGCCGGGCGCCGCTCCCTCCCCAGATCAGGGCGCCCAGCGAGCCAGCCGGCCAGCGGGGTCTCGAACAGGGCTCGGCGCCCCGGGCAGCACGTGCCCCCAAGCCGGCTCCCCAGGGCTCGACCCGCAGGCCCCGCCCCCGAGCGCGCCGGCCCCGCCCCGCCCAGGCCCCGCCCACCGCACGCCCCGCCCCCGGAGCGCCGAGCCCGCCGGGGCCCGGCCCCGCCCCGCCGCAGGCCCCGCCCCGCCCAGGCCCCGCCCCGCCCAGGCCCCGCCCCCTGCGCTCCAAGCCCGCCCCGCCCCCGCCGGCCCCGCGCCGGCCCCCGCTCCGCGCGCAGCCGGTACCTGGTCGGGCGCCGGCGATCGGCCGCCCCGCTGCCCTCGGGCGCCCGGGGCGCGCCCCTCCGCTGAGGCGCCATCGGCCGGGCCGGCGCGGAGCGGGGTCGCGCGCGGGAGCCGCCCCAACCCGGGGCGCGCGGCGGGCGGAAGAGCGAGGCCGGCGCGACGCGGCCCGGGAGCGACGCGCTCGGCGCTCGACAGGGCGGCGGCCAGGCCCGAGCAATCGGAGGCCGAGCCCGAGGACCGGCCTCCGCGCGGGTCCGTGCGGCCCCGGCCCCGGCCCCGGCGCTGCCCCCGCGCCGCGCTCCCCGCCCTGCCCCCGGCACCGCCCCCCCCGCCCTGCCCCCGGCGCTGCCCCCCGCCCTGCCCCCCGGCGCTGCCACCCCCCGGCGCTGCCCCCCGGCGCCCCCACCGCGCCGCGCCCCCCGCCCTGCCCCCCCGCGGTGCGCCCCCCGGCGCCGCCCCCCCCGGCGCCGCCCCCCCCCCGGCGCTGTCCCCCACCGCGCTGCCCCCCGGCGCCCCCCCCCCGCGCTGCCCCCCAGCACCGCCCTCCCCCGCCCTGCCCCCCGGCGCCCCCCAGCGCCGCGCCCCCCGGCGCCGCCCCCCCCCGCGCTGTCCCCCACCGCCCTGCCCCCCGGCGCCCCCCCCGCGCTGCCCCCCTAGCGCCGCCCCCCCCCGCGCTGACCCCCCGGCGCTGCCCCCCGCCCCGTGCACGCCCCCGCCCCGCGCCCCGGGACCTCCGCGCCCCCCCACTTGTGCCCCCCGGGGCCCCCGGCGAGGCGCCGGCGCGCGGGGGAAGGGGGCGCCCCTGGCGGCCGGCAGAGCCGCGGCCTCGGCCCCGGTGACCCCCCGCGCGCGGCCACGGGCGCCCCGAAGCGACCCGGCCCCGCTGGTCTCCGGCCCCTCCGCCCGCCGCCCGCCCCCGCGCGCCGCGGCTCCTTCCCGGCCCGGCCCGGCGCGCCCCGCGTGGGGAAGCCCGGGGGTCCCCGCCCCGCTCGCTCCGGCTCTGCGCCGCCCAAACCCGGGACCTGCAGGGGCGCCGGGGCCCAGGAGGCTTGAGGCAGGGGTGCTCTGCGGACAGTCCTGAGGGCACCCGCCCCGCCCCGCCCCCCCAGGGCGCCCTGTGCGGCCCTCGTGCCCCCAGAGCTGAGGGGCAGGGCGGGGCCCGGGTGTGACCCCGTCTCCCCGCAGGCAGCGCCTCCGGCGAGGATTTCTGTCCCCCCAAGATGGCCGGACCCTCGCCCTTCAAGATGCGCCTGGTCCACCTGGACCTCAAAGGGGCGCCGCCGAGGGCCTCGTACCTCTCAGAGGTGAGCGCTGCACCCCTGGGCCCTGCTCCGCCTCGCCGAGCGGCCTCTGGAGGGGCCGGGCCGGGCCGCTTGGCTGTGGACGCCCCGGGCCCCCTGACGAGCGCAGAGCGGCCGGGATGGCCCCCGGGAAGGCGGGACGGGACTCCACGCCTGGGGTCTCTGCAGGTGCGGGCGGCTGGAGCGGAGGGCCCAGGGGCGGGCGGCCTCGGCCGGGCGTGGGGTCCTGGCCAGGAGAGGGGACGCGACGGCCGCCTGAGGGCAGACGTGCAGACCGGCCGGGGGACGCTGGGGCGATGCAGCAGGAGGAGCCTGCGGGTCCCCACAGCCTGGGGATGCACACGGCCCCCCCAGCCCCCAATTCGGGGCTTCTGACCCAGACGGCGAGAGCTCTTGCCTTAACCCCCCCAGTTGTGACTCCAGAAGAGCGATGTACTCTCGGGGTGCCCGTGAGTGCCCCAGTGCAGGCGTGACCCCAGGCGGGGGGTGGGGCAGGAAATTGGCTCAGAGGGTGCTGGGGAGCCCAGGTCCTCGGGCTTCCAGAAGTACCTTCCAGAAACTTCCTTCCAGGGGAAAGGTCGCGGTCGCGCTGGACGGGAAGGCTGGGCGGGGAGAGAAGGGTCTGCCCCCCGCGGGGCCCGTCTTCCCAACGCATGGCCTGTCCCCAGAGGCACCCGGAAGCAGCGACTCAGGTGGGGCAGCGCAGGGCGCCCAGAGCCAGGGCTGAGTGAGGAGGGCCCGAGACAGGGCGGGGGTTGCAGGGGACGCCCCAGAGCCAGGAGCGAATCACAGAGGAAGGACCCATCCGAGGTGCGGGGAGCAGAGCGACGGTCCCCAAGGAAAGCTGGGTGCTGGGGTAGTGGCAGAGCGGGATGGGCCCCGACAGGCAGGATGGGCCGTCTGGCTCCTGCCACAGGGTGCCCCGGCTCGGGCGCGGACCCACAGCCGCAAAGGCCTAGGGCAGGGTCCCCCTGCGTGCGTTAGGGGCCTGGTGCCAACTCCTGCGCCCCGGTTCTCCGGGCGGGCTCCCCCCTCCACGTGGGGCTCCCCTTCGGAAGGCCAGGCCGGCTCTGTGGCTCTCTAGCAGCTGACCGGTGTTGGGGGTGCTCAGGCGCCAGGAAGCTGCGGCTCGGACCCCTGGGGTTAAAGGGCGGCTCGCCCGCCAGCGGGGTCGGTCGCCTGTGCTGGAGGAGTTCCCAGGCCGCCTGCACCGGGCGCCTCTCGTGAACACGGGCGACAGTGGGCAGACGCATCGGCACCCGCGAGGGAGGGCCTGGCTGGCTCCAGCCGTGGCCACAATCCCGGGGCAGGAGGCTCGCGAGCCCCGAGCTGGAGATGCTGCAAGAGTAAGACGGGCCGGGGGCCCCGCGATTCAGAGATGACCTTGGCCTTCAAAGCCGCCGCCGGCTTACAAGCCCCGGGAGCCGACTGGGCTGGCTGCGAGAGGCCGCGCTGCCCGTGGGGACTGGACAGCGAGTGGCTGCCAAGAGGAGGGTCCCCCTGAGGAAGGGCCCTGCTGCCAGGCCCAGGAGGAGCCACATGACAGGGACCCCTCCTCGCGGCCCCGAAGGATCTGGGTTGACCGGGTCAGGCACCGGGCGGAGTCCGGGGCAGAGGGCGGCGCCCCGAGCCCCTGGCCGGCGTCCCCTTGGGATGGCCAGAGCCACGGCTGAGCCCGCTGCCGCGCCCAGCTCAGCCCGCGGGACGGCCGCTCCGGGCCCCTGGGGAGTGTGACCCGTCGACTCCGGGGCTGGGAAACCAGGACGAGCAACAGGCGGGAGTGAGAGCAGAGGCGACCGCAGCAGGCCCGGAGCCCGGACACCCGCTGCCCTGGCCCTGGGCGCCCAGGGCGCGGGGGTGGCCGTCCCGGGAAGGCGGAGCCCCGGGGCTGGGCCGGGGGACCCCGTGCGCCTGCGCGGCAGACCACGCTTCGTGACCCCCGTCCCCCCGCAGGTGCTTCCCCTGTTCCACGCTCTGGGCGCCACCGGCCTCCTCATCGAGTACGAGGACATGTTTCCCTACGAGGGCCACCTGCGGCGGCTGCGGGCCCGGCACGCATACAGGTAGCGCGGGCGGCGCCAGGCAGGGAGAGCGGGTGGGCGGCGGGTGGCACCCGGCCCGCGGGGACGGCCGGAGTCGGACGCGCCTCCAATTCCGAAGACGAAGCAGCAGCCCCCCGGCCCGGCTGTGCGGGCGCTCCTTTCTCTCCCCCGGGAACCCCGTCCGGTCCCAGCTGACCGGGAACAAAGTAAGAACAAGCAGGTCGCGGAAGAGAAACGGAAACACTTACGCAGAAAATAACTGGACGCTGGGCCCCTGGAAGAGGTGCTGCTGGCGTTTGCCGGAGGCGCCGTGCGGGGGAGGCCTGGGGGAGAGGCTCGGGGGGAGGCCTGGGGGAGAGGCTCGGGGGGCGAGTCAGCACCCTCGGAGCGTTTAGGCGAGGGCTTGGGTGTAAGTCGCCAACGGCCAGGGGCCGAGGACGCTCACTGGACTGCGAGAAACGGCCACCGCGTGGTGGGGCTCTCGGGGAACCAGCATCCGAGGTCCCCAGGGTGGGGCGGCAGCCTTGCGCCCTGCCTGGAGGAGGTGGCCACCCGGGGGTCAGAGCCGGCGCCCGGTCTTGGCGGCTCTTGCTCCCGCGGGAGCGCGTGTCGCTGGGATGGGGGGGAGCGGCCGTCCGGGCGCCCGCCAAGCGCTGGGCAGCGAGGTGGGCACTCGGCCCCCGGGACCGCCTTCCCGTGTGGGGACCCCGGGCCGCAAGGGCGGGGCCGGGGCCTGACCACTTGCTGTGGCCCCTGCAGCCCCTCGGAGATCGCGCACATCCGGCAGCTGGCCGCGCGGCACGGGCTGGAGGTGGTGCCCCTGGTGCAGACCTTCGGGCACATGGAGGTAGGGCCGGGGGCACGGCCGGGCGAGGGTGGGGCCCGGTGGGGTGGGGGGGTCAGCGTGGGGGCCGGGGCCGGCACGGGGGGCGGGGTCCCCCGGCGGGGGTGGGCTCGGATGCAGCGGGGGAGCCCTTGTCCTCACACCCCCGCAGGTATGGGGGGGCCGGGGCGCCCCTGTCCGGGAGAGGGGGCCTGGCTCCACGCCCCGCCCGCGCCCCACCCCTGCTGGGGTCTCCCCTCCCCGTCTGCGTGCGGCGCTGACGCCTCCTTTCCGACTGCTTTTCCCTCTGGCTCCCTCACGCTTGCTTCAAAGCGCAGAAGTGCTGGGCGCGGGGCGCGCAGTGGACGCTGCCCCTGCTGGGAGCGTGCCCGGTGCCGCCCGGGCGGGCCTGAGCCTGGGGCTGTTTCCTCTGAAACTCGGGTTCTCGCTCCCGTAGGGTGGTGCCCCGCTTGGCAGTAGCTTTTGCGAGCTTGGGGCTGAAGTTCTGTGTGCCTGCGGTCTGGAGCCGCGTGGACGGCTCGCGCGGGGCGGGCGTTCTGGGAGCCCGGTGCCCGGCGCCGTGGCCGGGAGGGGCAGCGCGGCCTGTCCTGCCGCCTGCGCGTGGGTGGGGCGAGGGCGCAGCCCCCAGCGTGGCGGGTCAGGGCAGCCTGCAGGCCTGGCCGCCCGGCCCCGCGTCTCCTGCTGCCCCGGCCGCTGGGCTCTCCGCCGCAGGGGCGTGCGGACCCCGAGGCCTCCGGAGTTTCTGATGGGGGACGCGGGGGCCCCCCGGGTCTCAGCTTCCCGCCGCCACGGGCTGGGGGCGCTGGGGGCTCTCGGCGTGTGTCCACCTTGGGGTCGCGGAGCCTCTGGGCTGTGCAGACGGAGGTCGGAGCCCACCCTCCTGCGCCGGCGCCGTCCACCCGCGCCCTCGCCCCGGGGCTGCGCGGCGGCCGCTGTCTGCTGCTTCCCGGTCTCCTCCTGCCGTCCGGGTTGAATGCAGGTGACGTGACCCCATTGCTGGGCGGAGGTGGCCCCACTTGGCCCCGAGCCCTGGGCAAGGTGGTGCTGGTCTGCGGGCAGGACTGGCCGCCCCCCTCCAGCGAGGACCCGGACCAGGAGCCCAGCCTCGGCCCAGCGCCTCACGGCCCCCGCCCACCTCCTGTCTCCTCCCAGTTTGTGCTGAAGCACTCCACGTTTGCTCACCTCCGAGAAGTGGCGCCGTTCCCCAACACGCTGAACCCCCACGACGCGGGGTCCCTGGCCCTGGTGGGGGCCATGCTGGACCAGGTGCTGGGGCTGCACCCGGGTGCCCAGTGGCTGCACATCGGCTGTGACGAGGTGGGTGCCTCCCGCCCGGCCCTGCCCCTCCTCCCAGACGGGATGGTGGTGCCCGCAGCACAGGGCGAGCAGGGCCGCGGAACTGGCCCTGTGGATGGGTCACCTCCACGGCGCCCCGCCCACACGCCACCCCCGCCGGCTCCGTGCCCCACCAGCCAGAGCAGGCCCCCGATTCCGGGGAGTCCCCACGGTGCCCGGGTTGGCACAGGTCACTTGGCAGCCGCAGAAACGCAGGGTGGGGATGAGCCTCGCGCCTGCTCGCGACCCGCGGGATACAGGACGGGCCGGCACAGCTGGCACCTGAGCCCGGGCGCTGGCTGGACCTTTCAGCCCAGAGGCTGGTCCTTTCCTTCAGCTGGGGGAGTGGGCAGCAGGGCCGACGGCGGGGACAGACGGACGGTCCCCCGCAGGTGTACTACCTGGGGGAGGGGGCGGCCTCGAGGCAGTGGCTGCAGCAGGAGCAGAACACGAAGGCGAAGCTGTGTCTGTCCCACATGAGGGCCGTGGCCAGCCTCGTGCAGGCCCGGCACCCGGCCACGCGCCCGCTGGTGTGGGACGACATGCTGCGGGACGTCCCCGAGGACCAGCTGGCAGGTGGGTGCTGGGGGGGAACCGGTGGAGGGGGGCAGGGGATGCGGGGTGGGGGGCTCCTGCTCTTCGTGCAGAGCTTTGCACTAGGACGATGTGCTACAAGGGGCACCCACGTGTGTCCCAGAACTGTGGGCCCCTTGGGGTGTCAGGGGAGGGGCCACAGGGGACAAGAACCAGCACAGGGGCCCCTGCCCTGGGGGGAGGCCGGTGAAGGGATGGGGCGCCCTTGGGGCCCCAGGGCCGTGGCGGCTGTGGGAGGAGGTGGGAGGCCGTCCTGGGTCCCTGCCCGCTGCCCAGCTGGATCCTGGCCGAGGCGGCTGGCGCTGACAGCTAGTTCCGGGAGGGCACGAGCCAGAGGTGTCCGGTCGTGGGCCAGCGCCCGTGTGGGTGAGGCCCTCTGGGCCCAGAGCTGGGCACTCATGGCCCCTCTCCACCCCCTCGCCCAGCCTCGGGGCTGCCACAGCTGGTGGAGCCTGTGCTCTGGGACTATGCAGCCGACCTGGACGTCCATGGCAAGGGTCAGTACCACACGCTGGTAGGCCCTGGCTAGCCCCACCCTGCAGCCCCCACCACCCAGCAGCAACTCAGAGCCCCGGGGCCTGCCCGCACTGGCGCGTGGGGCCTGCCGTGGGTTGCCCCAGGCCGCGCTGTCCTGAGCCCTGTGTGCCCCCCCGGGCCCGCCTGGGCAGCTGGGCATGGGGCGGCCGCGTGTGCCGGGGGCCGGGCCAGCTACCCAGCACTTTCTCGCTCAGTCCTCCTCATGGAGAAGTTCCGGAGGTGCGGCTTCTCCCGGCTGTGGGCTGCCAGCGCCTTCAAGGGGGCCACAGGGGCCAGCCAGGCCCTGACCCCCGTCCAGCACCACCTCGGGAACCACATGCGGTGGCTGCAGGTGGCGGCCAGCGGGCCCGCAGACACCCTGCAGGGCATCGTCCTGACCGGCTGGCAGAGGTGAGGGGGGCAGGGGCCCTCAGGTGGCGGAAGTCCTGGGGTGGGGGTGGGGCTGAAGCCACCCCCATCTAGTCCCCCGGGTCCTGGCCTGCCCTGGGGGGGATGGCCGCACCGCGGGAGCTGCAGCTGCAGGGAGAAGCCACTTGGAGTCAAGCCCCTCAAACCCTGCACTGGCCCCCCACACTGCAGAGGGGGCCCTGTTGGGGCCCTAACTCCAAGGCCTCAGCGGGGTGGGGGACACCGGGGGGGGGCAACGGGGTGGCCAGGGCACAAGGACACCCTGGACTCCAGGGTCACGCCCTGCTGGCCCTCAAGCCCCGTCAAGGCTGGCTAATGGGGGTTCAGGGAGGGCTCCCCGCGGCAGCCGGCTCTGCGGACCTGCCCGAGGCCCGAGCTGGCGGGCAGGGCTGCTGCCGCCTCCCCGCAGGTACGACCACTTCTCGGTGCTGTGCGAGCTGCTGCCCGCCGGCCTCCCGTCCCTGGCCGTGTGTCTGCAGTGCCTGCTGCACGGTGAGCCGGTGGCCTGCGCCTGGGCTGGGAGGCGGGAGGCGGCTCCTCGGGCTCAGGGCCCCCGGGCTGCCGAGAAGGCGGTGTCTGTGCTAGCAGCTGCAGGCTGTGCCCAGCCGGCGCCGTCCCGCACCCGCTCCCGCTCCCGCCTCGGCCGGGGCAGTGGCCGGGGCACAGAGGGCTGCGTCTCCGTCCGGGCGAGGCGTGTGGCTGAGCACCAGCGGCAGGAGGGGCTCCCCAGAACTGGGGTTCCAGGCGTAGAGAAGGCACGGGGCGGCAGGCCATGGGGATGTGCTCCAGAGAGCCCGCTGTGAGCAGCCCGGGACAGCTGGCTCACACGGCCCTCCCCGGGCACCGTGCCCACCGGCCACCGCCGAGAGCGGGAAGGGCGGCTGGCAGCGTCCGGGCCCCGGGCCTCCCCTGGGCCCACGCCGACCGTGTCTCTTTGCCTGGCGTCAGGAAGCTTTGGTGAAGATGTTAAAGCCAGAGTGGAGAACTTGCTGGGGATGCCCGGCCTGGACGTAGCGGACATCGCCAGGTAGCCACCCCCCCGGCCCCACCTCCCCTCCCGGCTCCCTCCACCCCTCATGACGGCTGCCGCTCTGTGCAGGGAGGGGGCGGGCTCCTTCCCCGGCAGCGACATCCTGGCCCTCGTCACCCAAGTCAGCCTCCACCTGCGCGACTCCGTGGACGCCTTGCTGGAGAGGGACAGGCGAGTGGGGGTAGGTGGGTGGGGGGCGGCAGGCGCGGGGGGCCGGGCCCTAGCCCCTGACCTGGCGGGAGGGCAGCCCGGCCTGCAGAAGGGCTCTCCGGGGGGAGCAGCTCCTAAGAGCCTCCGCCACACCCAGGTGCTCAGAGGTCAGTGGGCCCGAGAGGCTCACCTGTAGCGCGGCCCCCAGGTACGTGACCGGCTGGTTCAGCCCCTACCACCGCAGGCGGAAGCTCGTCCACCCCGTCATGGTCCGCCACATCCAGCCCCAGGCGCTCAGGTAGTGCCCGCCTGCCCTGCCCCCCACCGGCTCTGCGGGCCCAAGGCTGGAGGGAGCTCGGCGGCAGCTGGGACCCCAGGCGCCCCAGGACTTCCTCCCTGCTCACAGCGCCCCGTCCGCAGCCTGCTGGCCCGCTGGGGCGCCCTGACACAGGAGCTGGAGGCCGCCCTGGGGCGCGTCTTCTACCCCGACGCGGTGGAGGAGTGGCTGGAGGAGAACGCACGGCCTGGCCTGCGGCGGCTGCAGGCGCTGCTGCGCGACCTGGACGAGGCGGCCGGCCCTGTGGACGTGGCCCCCGAGGCCTGATGCCCCCGCGGGCTGTGAAGGGAGCCCGGAGCAGAGGCTGGACGTGGCCCTGGACAGGGGCTCGGCAGCCCCCGGTGGCAGCTGTCTCCATCCTTGCTCTGGAGCTGGGGGGACCCCAGGGGCCTGCACCCTGCGTCTTAGAGGGAGGCACCGGGGCGCACACACTGGACCGAGCACAGCAGTCACATTATTTATTTTTTAAAGAAAAAAAGCACTTTGGATTCCTCCACTTAAACCCTAGCACGTTTCGGTGTCCCCGTCTGATAGCTGAGGAGGGGGCCCCTCACCCCGGTCGTCCAGACCGCCGCCCTGCCCCCCCGCAGCCTCCCCCGGGACTCTTGGCAGCCCTGTGGGGCCCACCTGGGGCCAGGACACTCTCCGTGGGGGAGGGGAGCCCTGGGACGGTACAGCAGGTGCCCCGTGTGGGGCGCACCGGGCCAGTGATGAGCCTGGCCACACCCTGCCAGCACAGAGGCCCCTAGGGTGGGGAGAGGCCGGATCCCTGCCTCGAGGGGCAGCTGGCTTGTAGACCCTTGGAGGCCACGCCAGACCCGCGGGCCTGGTGAAGCAGCAGTGCTGGGGGAGGGTGGCCGCGGGGCTGGGCAGAGCGCGCCCCTGTGGGCGGGGGCTTGAGAGCAGGTCACACGGACACCCCTCTCCCCCCTGCCGCTGGCAGGCACCTCACTTCTGACCATGGAGAACAGCTGTGGGAAGGGGCAGGAGAAGCAGGGTTCCCTGGGGATAGTCCTAGCTGCCCCCCACCCTGCTGCGTCTGGATGCAACTGGCAGCCTCCCGCCCTCTGCTCTGGAAGCCCCGGCGCCCGCGGTCCTGTTCAGGGCTGGGCCGGCTCCGCGGGGGCGGGCTGCACTCCACACGCCCAGGCTGGCCCTCAGATCCTGCAGGCGGGTCCGGCTGTGGCTTTGCTGAGGGCAGAAGCGGGCAGCAGGGATGGCCAGGCCCACGGGCCCGCACCAGCGCCATCAGGAGGGAGGCTGGGGCTGGCGGCCGTCAGCTCTGGCCCCCGGAGCCCTCGGCCTCGCTGTCGCTGCTCTGGGACAGCTCCGAGGGGCTCTCCGGACGGCGCAGCTCCAGAAAGCTCACGATGAGCCTGGCGATGGCGTCCACATCACTGGGCCGGTGGCACCGGAAGGAAGGGCAGGTCACCTTGGCGGCCAGGAGCCCAACGTCTGCCTCAGCGGCATGGGGCGTGGGACCCCCGCGCCCCCCGTCGGGTCCCCACCCCTCCGCCTGTCCTCTGTCCTTGCCAAGGAACCCCGACTCCCCAAGCAGTGGCGGCCTCACCTGCGGTGGCCCATGACCGCGTTCTGGGTGAGGGGGTGGGAGAAGCCGGTCACGGAGCGCAGCACCGCCACGTAGCCCTTCCCGAAGTAGCGCACGGTCTCCTCCTCCACGCTCACGTCCCGGATGTCGCTCAGCATGACCACCACTGTGGGCAGGGCGGACCGGTCAGCGGCGGAAGGCCCAGCCCACCCCACTCCTGCTGACCCATCCGCAGGGCAGGGCGTCTGCACACCCTGACCTCAATGCTGACCCTGGCACGGGGTCATGCAGCTGCTGGGTGATGCCCCTCTGGGCTGAGAGTGCCTGGGGGCACCCCAGGCCCACGAGGCAGGACGCCCATCCCGGGCAGTGAGCTTGCCCAGTTGGCCCGCCAGACCCCCCGGGCCTCACCCTGCTCGTGGCCCGCTCTGAACAGGGTCAGGAGCTTCTTGTACAGGCTGAAGGTCTTCAGGGTGACCTTCCCGGTGCTCTTATTGAAGACGGCTTCCTGCGGGGCCGGCCAGAGGTGCTCGCCACTCACCCACCCCTCCCCACGGCAGCTGCTGGGGAAGGGGCTCTGGTCTTCCCACCCCTGTCAGAACCCCAGAGCCCAAGCACTGCTCTGCCTGAGCCTGTCCACTCCTGCTGGGGGGCTGGGGTGGAGAGACAGAGCAAGGCTCTGTCCTCTGCACCCAAGAAAACAGGTCAGGTGGCAGGGGCTGGGCTCAGGGTGCCAAAGGCTCCAAACCGGGGAAGGGGGCAGCCCCCAGGAAGGCAGCGCTGCCGCTCCCGTCCGCACACCAGCACCCGCGGCCCGAGCGTGAGGGGCAGGCCAAGCCTTCCTCCCGCCCGCGCCGGCTGGGGCCCCGGCTGGGGACCCGGGGCGGCCTCACCTCCCAGTCCTCCAGGTTCTGCACGGCCACGAACAGGCAGCCCGTGACGTAGAAGAGCTTCCAGCCCAGGCTGTCTGGGGGCAGACGGGCGAGTGGGCGGACAGGGCTCAACACCGCCGCCCAGCAGGAGAGGCAAGCGCCCGCCCCAGGCCGCGCCCGCGGGGTCCTCCTCTTTCCAGGCCGCAGAGGGGCGGGCGGGCGGGCGGGAGGCGGCCCCCCACTCACCTCCGCTGTAGTAGGCGGCCGCCAGCCCGATGGACAGGATCCCTGCAGAGAGGACGCAGGTGTCTCCCCGCGGCCACCGCGGCCGGCGGCCTCCCGACCGGGGCGCAGGGCCGGGGAGGCGCCCCGGCATTCGCGGGAGGCCCCGACGGCGCGAGGCGAGAAGACCAGGCGCGCAGGACAGCAGCGGGCGACCCGGGCCGGGGCGGGGCAGCGCCCGAGCTGGGCCGGCGCGGGGACCCCCAGCGCCCCGCCCGCGGGGGACAGAGGCCGGGCGGCCGAGCGCGGGCGGAGGGGGCGCCTGGTTCGTCCGCACCCCGCCGGGCCTCGGGGCCGCGCGCGCGCTTACCGACCAGCAGGGACCAGGACCTGGCGCCCGGGGCCCTCTTGAGGCGCAGGACGGCGCCGGAGCGGGTGTCCACCTGCATGTACATCCCGGCGCTGCGCAGGACAGACAGGAGGACAGACAGCTGCCGCGCCCCGCCCCCGCCCCCGCCCCCGGCCGGCCCCGGCCAAGCCCCCGGCCCCGGTCCGCCCCCCGCCCCCGGCCCGCCCCCATCCCCTCCCGCGCCCCCGGCCGCGCCCCCCGCCCGCTCCCGCGCCCGCCGAGGGGGGCGGCAGAAGCTCCCTGGGGTGCGGGCCCTGGGAGCCCGCCCGCCCCCCGCTCTCCCGCCACCCGGCGGGGCGGCCCCGGGCGGCCGCGCCCCCGCACCCACCGAGCGGACCCAGCGGGGCGGCGGGTGGGCCTCGACTTCCGGGTGTGGGCGGGGCCTCGACTTCCGAGTGTGGGCGGGGCCTCGACTTCCGGGTCGGGCGGGGCCTCGACTTCCGGGTGTGGGCGGGCCCGCGACTTCCGTGTGTGGGCGGGGACTTCCGGGTGTGGGCGGGGCCTCGGCTTCTGGGCTCGGGCGGGCGGGGACTGGGGCTGGGCGCCCTGCGGCGACACGGGCCCGGGGGGACCAGCCGCCCTGGCCGGGGTCCCGGCCGCGCCTCACGCCCCGCCCCGCCTCGGCGGGCCCCGCCCCCGCCCCGCCCCCGTCCGGCTACGTGCCGCGCGGCGGGGCGGCCATGGCGGCGTCCGGGGCCGCGTCCCCGCCCCTTCAAGCGGGCGGGCCGTCCCCGCCGCTCCAGCCGGGCGCGGCCTCCGAGGGCCCGAGCGCCCGGAAGACCCTGCTCGCCGGCCCGGTCCGGCCCGCTCGCTCGCTCCCGCGCCGGCCCCCACCCCGGCCGCGCGGGGCCGAAGCGCACGCGGGAGCCGGCCCCGGCCTCCGCGCTGCGATTGGCGCCGGGGCCCGGCCGCCCCTCCCCCGCGCCCTCATTGGCTCAGCCTGCGCCTCGTGGGTGGAGCCTCATGGTTCTTCCTTCGCTCCTATTGGTCCGGGGGCGTGGCGCTCCCGTTCCCGGAGCTCTCATTGGCCGGCGGCGGTGAGGGCGGCGCTGCGCGGGGGCCGACGACAACAAAGGGCGGCGGGCGGCGGTGACGGCGGTGGCCGGAGCGTCCCTGGGTGTCCGCCGCGGCCGCCGCGCCGCCGCTCCAGATGAAGTGCGAGCGCTGCACGCGGAAGGTGGGCGCGGGCGCGGGCGCGGGCGGGCGCGGGCGGGCGGGGGCGGGGCTCCCTGGCTCCACGCCGCGGGCGCCGGGGCGGAGTGGCCGCGGCGCGCCCGGTGACCGTCCCTGGGGAGGCCGCGGGGTCGCCGGGCCCGCGCGCGGGCGGCGGGGCGCCGCGGGGACGTGAGGGCTGTCGCGCCTCGCCCGCAGGAGTGCAGCAAGAAGTCCAAGACCGCGGACCGCGAGGATGCGCCCGCCGCGCCGCCGCGCCCGGCCCGGGAGGGCGCAGAGGCAAGTGGGCGCGGGGGGCGCGGGGGGCCGCCGGGCCGGGGCTGGGGCGGGCGAGCCGCGCTTAACGACCAGCCCCGTTCTGCCGACCGGGGGTCCGTGGGCCCCGCGGGGGCGGTTCTGCGCTCCCGACCGGCCGGTTCTCGCGCTCTGGCCTCGCCGCGCTCCGCTCTTTGAGCCCAGGTGTGCGCTGCTGGCGGCCGCGGAGGTCTGGGGGCTGGCTGCCCATCTGTGTGGAGGGGCTCCCTGGGGGGCCACCGCGTGTCCCTGTGCTGTGTGTCCCTGTGCTGACGGCTCCAGGGCAGAACTGGCAGTCGCCCCCGAGAAACAAGAGCCCGCCCTTCGGTCCTCGGTCAGCCGCGTGTAGCCTGACGCCCGTGCTGTGCCTGTCGGGCTCGGTGGCTGGACCGGATGAGCACTCGGGGCTCGGCAGAAGAGAGGCAGGCGGTGCGGGGAGCCGGCCCTCCAGCCTGGGCTCCGGGGTCCCCGACCGTGACGCAGAGGTGGCTCCCTCCGGGGCTGTGCTGAGGGAGGTGATGTGTGCGGCAGCCAAGGGGCAAGTCAAGGGAGGAGCCGCCGGGCAGGCCGCGGATGGCGGGGCGAGGGGATGGCACGCAGCTGTCCTGGTCAAGGAGGGGTGTGTGCAGGGGCCCGGAGTGGCGATGGGGAGACGGGCCAGAAGCTGGGCGCGCTACGGGCTGGTGCTGGTGGGGGACACTCGGGGCCACCCAGGAGGCAGAAGGCAGGGAGTGGAGGCGGTGGCGGAGCAGGACAGGGTGCGGCTGGGGAGCAGAGTGCTCGGCCCTGGCCCTTGCACGGCGTGTGGGGCAGACCTGCGAGGGCAGAGGGGAGAAGGACGGCGGCAGGCTGCTGCAGAAGCACAGCTGCAGGGCGGGGGGGGGGGCGGGAGGTGGCCATGAGGGCCCCCTGAGAGCAGGAGCATCTTGTCAGGCACCGGCTTTGTGCCAGGCCCCTGCTCCACCCCAGGGCACCTGCTGGAAGTGCAGACCACTGGAGTCACCTCGCAGGCACCCGTGACAGGGCCTGGTGCTGTGGCCGTGTGCGGGCCGAGGCTGGGCTGGTGGGAATGGCTCCCGGGGCTTCAGAACATCCCGCGACTGGGCACGACGCTCACTGAGCACCTGCACCCGTGGGGTGTCGCCCAGGGACAGACCTGGGTGCCCTCATGCCACACACAGCACGTAGGGCTGGGGTAGGACAGGAGCAGCGATGCATCTGTGGGGCCAAGACCCTCCAGGGTTCTCAGAGAGCCTTCCCCACCGGGTGGCACCCCAGCAGCCAGGGCATGTGGCCGGAAGTGAGAGCAGGGATGATGTGGGGGAGGGGGTGCCATTGCACCACAGGCTGCAGGGGGCATGGTGCCAAGCAGGACACAGGCATGGGGGCACACCGGGTGGTCATTGGGCATCCAGGTGAATGCAGGTGTTCTTGCTGAGGACGAGAGTGAGCCTGGCCGGGCAGGACGTGGGCATGCAGGGCCTGCAGGACCCCAGTCACTGCGCCGTGTTGCCCAGCCTGCCTGATCCTGGGGGGGGCTCCCGGCTGCCGTCCCGGGCTGAGACCGCCACCTGGCAGTCCCCCAGCATGCAGCCGGGCCTGGCGGGCCATCTCCAGCGCAGGCTTCTGTATGCTGCTCACCCCGCTCCCCCTGGGGCCGCGCGGCAGGGGACCTCTGTCCAAGAATCAGGCCGAAACCTCCCTCTTCCAGAAGGGAGAGTTCCACAGGCTGGCGGACGTGAAGGTGTTTCTGAGCGACTGCCTGGCGTGTGACAGCTGCGTGACCGCAGAGGAGGGCGCCCGCGTCTCCCAGCAGAACGCCGAGGACTTCTTCCGGGTTCTGAGCCTGAATAAGGTGCGCACCTGGGTTGTGGGCCAGCCGGCCGTGGACAGGGACAGCGGAGCGGGCCTGGGGCTGGCCCAGGGCTCACAGAGGCTCTGCTCTTCCCTTCAGCTCGACGAGAGCTCCATGGCGCCTCCCGGTGGGGGACGGGGAGGCCGCAGGCACCTCCATGTGCCAGCGCAGGGCTGTCGCCTGGTGTGGGGAGCTCAGCCAGGGAGTCCTCCAGAAACCCTGGTCTGGCGTGAGCCCCATGCGCAAGGCACGGAGCTGCTGTCCCAGCCACGTCATGCAGCCCTTTAGGTCAGTTTAGAAAGAAGCGGGCGGCCTGGCGTGAGGACCGCCCAAGCCCTGTGTTCCGGCCCCCACCTCCACCCCGCTCCGCATGTTCCTCTGGAACAAAACAGCTTTAGCCGTTTTCCAACCTCGTGGAAACTTAGCTGGACTTCATGCCCCTGAGCTGCCTGCAGAGCCCTGTGGGCCCCCCGAAAGTGGCTGTGTCCCTTTCACGACCACAGCGATGGGTCGGACCGCCTACGCCAGGCCGTCCTGAGCACGCGCGACCGTGAGGGGACGTGCCTCGTTTGCATTCTCCCGGAGGTCAGAGGCCAGCGTCGCAACATGCCTGCCCACCCACCTGCCTGCTGGGGCCCCGCGCCAGCTGCTGGCCGCCTGCTCCGACCACAGGCGTTGAACAGGCCAGAGGCTGCGTCTCGGCGGGGGGACCGGGCCTCTCTCTCCGGCATTGTGTCTGCAGGTCGGCCCCTTCTGCCTGGACAGCCACTGCCAGGCGGCTCCCTCATGCGCAGTCCAGGGTGGTGCTGGGCGCGATGCTGGCATCCACCAGCCGTGCCGCCCGGGGACGGTCCGAGTGAGCGCCCGCGTGCAGACGGCCTGGTGTCAGTGTGTCCACGGCCTGGGGGTCAGCTAGCGCGGACAGTGTTTTCAGGACAGCTAGTCGGTGAGGCCGTCTGCTCCTGAAAAAGCGCCCAAGATGATGGGGCTTGCGGCACCCGCAGGGCAGGTTTCGGGGCCGACGCGGGGTCGCGCGGCTGTGTGCTGGGGAGTCGTTCAGTGACTTGGGGCAACGTGGCTACTTTTGTTTTTCCTCGAAGTCGTCTCGTTTCTCCAGGCGCCCGCGCTTAGTGACAGGCGTTTTTTTAAAACAGACAGAACGTCATGGGACGTCTCGTTTGCTTAAATCTGGGTTTTGCTTTCTCGCCTCTGCTGCCCGCGGTGCCCGGCACTGGCCTGTGGCCTGTCTTTCCCGAGCTGCGCTCTACCCCCGCCGTGCTTGTGACGTCCCTCTCCCTGTCTCCCTCTAGAAATGCGACACCTCGAAGCACAAGGTGCTGGCAGTGTCGGTGTGTCCTCAGTCCCTGCCTTACTTTGCTGCTAAATTCAGCCTCAGCGTGGCTGACGCATCCAGAAGACTCTGTGGCTTTCTCAAAAGCTTGGGTGAGCTGCACCTTTGGCGTGACGGCTGCAGCTTGAGCTCAGCTGCTCCTCCCTCCTCTCGAGTTCAGTCCCCGGGTGTAGACGACGTCCCCACCCTCTGGTCCCCTGCTCTGAGCCTGGCAGGAGGCACTGCCCTGGATGACACGGGTGCTGTGTCACAGCTGACCCCTGGCGGTAGACGGTGTCTGTGGCCGTGACCCAGACGCCTGCAGAGCCCCAGCTGGAGGGTGGAGCCGCCACAGGCCAGGCTTCTGTGTGGCTGCAGCCCTCGGTGTGCTCTGCCCCCAGCTTCAGAACCTGGCAGGGCGCTCAGCACTGACTGCCACAGAGGGGGTGCGGGAGGCCTGAGCCACCTCCCCAGGGCGGAGCCCAGAGTGCCACATGGAGCGCATGGCCCTGCGGACAGGGCTGGACGGGTGTGTGGCTGTAGGTCTCAGGCCTGGGGTTCTGAGGCCACTGCTACTGTGAGGAGCCGGACCCCACTTCTGTGGCCATCTGTTTGGGAAACCAGTTGGCTTTGAGGTCGCCGTTCTTTAAAGATGTTCTCTGACCATCCTGTTGAAAGGCAGCCTGGGCCGCGCAGCCAGCCCGCCGAGGCTCAGGCACCCTCTCCCGCAGGGGTGCACTACGTGTTTGACACGGCCATAGCCGCGGACTTCAGCCTCCTGGAGAGCCAGAAGGAGTTTGTGCGTCGGTATCGGCGGCACAGCGAGGAGGCGCCGGCGCTGCCCATGCTAACTTCGGCCTGTCCCGGTGAGTGGCCGTGGCGGCGCCTGTCTCATGTCCGGGCGGGGGCGGGGCAGGGCCGCCAGCCAGCTCAGTTCTCCCTCGCACCCAGGCTGGGTCCGATACGCGGAGCGGGTGCTGGGCCAGCCCGTCACCCCCCACCTCTGCACCGCCAAGTCACCCCAGCAGATCATGGGCTCGCTGGTCAAGGACTACTTCGCCCGGCGGCAGGTACGCTGGCCGCTTCCGGCACGTGAGGGCGGGCACTCGGGAGGAGGGGCCGGGGGGCGCACAGGCTGCCCAGGTGCCAGCTCAGGCCCAGTGCAGGTGCCCTTCCTGCTGAGGGGCTCCACACCTCCCTGTGCCCCGGACCCCGCGTCTCTGGAGCAGCCATCTGCTCACACCCCTGGAAAAGCCGGTCGCTCCTGTCCTGGGACCCATTGCTCCCTGGAGCCCTCTCCCGCTGGGGCTGCGCTGCCCCTCCTGGCCCAGCTGGCGATTGCTTCTCCGGAGCTCCGGCGGCCACCGGCCGGGGGCCTCATGGCGCTGGGCTCAGCACAGCCTGGCCGGCCCTCCAGACGCTCTCGTGCCTGTGGTCTCTTCGGTCAGACCCAGGTTTCTCCAGGGACTGCTGAGGTCAGTGGCCAGCAAGGCAGATGCGGACGGAACCCCACGGGCTCAGCCGGCTTCCAAGCCCACGCGTGTGATGCCCATCAGCCTGGTGCAGGGTGATTTTGCCCGGCTCTTTGAGGTGCCCCGGCCGCAGGTCATGATGTATGTTCAGTCGGGCAGGACCGGCTGTCCGTGCGCCCTGGGTTGCCGGTGGAACACGCTCTCTCGCCCCACATGCTGTCCCATGGAGGAGGGCTGGCAGGCCGCGGGAGCCTCCTGGGGCCCGGCCTGTCCCTGTCCTGCCCTGCCCTGCCCTGCAGGGCCACTTCACCCAGGCCTCCCTTGAAGGTCACTCACGACTGCCAGGTGTGGCCACCGATGCGTGTCCGGCCGTGGGCAGCAGGGGTGGCCTCAGGTGGTGCTGCTGGGGGTGCCTGCAGGAGGTAGCCTGTCCTTGGCATCTTAGCACAGACTGGAGCTGGCCAGGCTGTGGGGCCCAGCAAGACACGGGCAGGGTGGGCCGGGTGCTGGGGGGGAGGTGGACAGGAACGTGGTGTGGGACTGGGACCCAGAGTAGCCGGCCTGTGCTGCATACCCAAGTCTTGGTCTGCTCTCCCCGCAGAACCTGTCTCCAGACAAGATTTTCCACGTCATTGTGGCCCCTTGCTATGACAAGAAGCTGGAAGCCCTGGAAGAAGACTTTTCCGGAGCTCTGGGTGGTTCCCGGGGTGCCGACTGTGTGTTGACCTCAGGTGAGGGCTCTCTCTGCGCCGGATGTGCTGCCTCGCAGCGCTCCTACAGATGGAGCGGGTGGCTGGCCGGGCCGCTGGGGCTCTGCGCAGATTTGGCCGGACGTGCAGCCACTGAGTCTCCTCCTGCATCCGCTGACTCGCGGCCCAGCACGTCGCTACCCTGGACCTTCCCTCGGGCTTCCACCTGCCTGCGGGCCTCCCAGAAGGGCCTGGGCCTCTGCCGGCCTCGTGTGCTCCCATTGCCCGCTCCCAGCCCCTCGGGCTGTCTGGGGCACAGCCACAGCCTTGGATCCCTCCCTCCCTGCTGGGGGTCTCCTAGGGAGCCTGACCAGTCCCGCTTCTAGACGCCAAGGTGCTGTCTGGTCCACATGGGGTTGTCCCACAGACACGTCCTGCCTGGAGACGGGCGGCTGGCTTGTGGGGGTCACTTCTCGCCACTGCACTAATGTCCTGTGTTTCATGGCTCTTCGGTGGCTCCTGCTTTCTGGGGAGTTAAAGCAAGAAGGACATCCAAGGTCACTGCCCGTGGACTCTGGGGGCAGAGGCAGCTGGGCCTGACTTCTCCATGTGTCTGCAGGGGAGATCGTCCAGCTAATGGAGCAGAGCGACCTCTCAGTGGAAGATGCCGCTGTGGACACGCTGTGAGTGGCTGCAGGGGCTCTGAGAGTGGCATGTGTCTAGGGCTGCGAGCTCCAGACTGGGTCCTGTGGAGCTCTGAGGCAGGGCGGTGGCCCCGGCGGCCTCCTGTGTGTGTCTCGTGAGGCTGGCCACACTAGGCGCCTCCTTGTTTGAGCCCTGACTGTCCTCCGCACTCCCAGCCCTGCCTGCGGGGTTTGCAGTCTCAGGCCCACTGCCCCGGAGCGGCAGGCTGGGGTGGGCACTGCCCCTAGTGTGACACACGGCTCTTGGAGGCAAACGGCTGACCCTGGAGGGAAGCAGCTCCAGGGCACGGCCAGGGCCTGGCTGGCCAGCTGAGCTCGCGCCCTCCTGCTGGCTGGGCCCAGACAGGCCCCGTGCCGGCGCTGCAGTCCAGGGGCTCGGCCGGACAAGCTTCCTTGCGGGCTACCGCTCAGTGGGGTGGGGGTCCTGCTGCGCCGCGGGTCCCAGGAAAGGGCTCCAGCCCGCGCCGGTCTGACCTGCCGCCCCCTCTCTGCCGGGAGCTTCGGGGACCTGGAGGGGGAGCCGCGGCGCCACGATGGCTCCAGCTCCGACGGGTACCTGGCCCACGTCTTCCGTCACGCCGCCAAAGAGCTCTTCGGCCAGGACGTGGGGGAGGTGACCTACCGCCCGCTGAGGTGTGTGCGAGGGCCCCAGGGCCTCGGGGCTTCTCGGGGGCTGAGGCACAGTCAGAAGGGCACTCGAGCAGGCCCCGTTGTCCCGCAGGAACAAGGACTTCCAGGAGGTGACCCTGGAGAAGGACGGGCAGGTGCTGCTGCGCTTCGCTGCCGCCTGCGGCTTCCGGAACGTGCAGAACGTGGTCTTGAAGCTGAAGCGCGGCAAGTTCCCCTACCACTTCGTGGAGGTCCTGGCCTGCCCCGGGGGTAAGAGCCACCCGCTGACCCCAGGCTGGCCCCAGGCCCCAGGCCTGCCCGGGCGTGACTGCGGCCCCCCTCTCCTGTTTTCCAGGCTGTCTCCACGGCAGGGGCCAGGGCCCGGCCCAGGGCGGCCGTGCAGACAAGGCCCTGCTGCGGCAGGTGGACGCCCTCTACGCCAGCGTCCCCGTGCGGGCCCCGGAGGGCAGCAGCCGTGTGCGGGAGCTCTACCAGGAGTGGCTGCGGGGAGCGGAGTCCACCCGTGCCCAGGAGACTCTGCACACCGAGTTCCGGGGCCCCGGGCGCCCGGCCCTCAGCCGGGATTTCAAGTGGTAAAAGCCCGAGGGCGTGCAGGGCTGCCAGGGGGGCGCTGCCAGGGCGCTGGGCGAGCAGGAGCCCCCGCCCCCTGCCCGCTCTCTCGCGCCCCCTCCCTTCCTCAGTGGAGCGTGGTGCTGTCGTTGGGACCCAGGCCGGGGTGCCGGTGCCAGAGGACACCCGGCTTGGGGATCCCTGGACCCAAGACGAGAAAATCCCAAAGAACAGAACGTGCACGGGTCACTGCCGTTAGTTTTCCAAACTCCTAAAAGCATCTGGCAGAGCTCAGGCTGCAGGTGCCACCCGACCTGGCTCTGCCTGAGTCCTGGAGAGTGCCCGCCAGGGTGGGTGCCTAGGTGGGGCGCCTGGGCCCAGCCCTCCACAGGGCCGCGCCCCCGTACAGGGTGGGCGAGGGCACCGGACACCTCCACATGCTGTCCTGGGGGCGCAGTGCAGGTGGCCCCTACGCGGGCCTCTTGGTCCCCTCACCTCCCAGCCACCCTCCCTCCACACGCCTGCGCTGGGCCACCTGCCCGTGCTGTGGGGGGAGGCGGGGAGTCGACCCCAGCAGTAGGCAGCAGGGCAGCAAGGCTGGAGCCAGAGGTGGCTGGCCGGCTCTGGGGAGCTGATGGGCACGGCCCCTCCCTGTTCTGCCCCCTGGGCTGATAACTGGATTCTTGTGTGAAATCATGTATTTTTTGCTTTGGGCCTGCACAGCCGGGCCCTCCGGGCTCACTGAGCACGGAATAAACAGTGGAAGCGAGTGTGTGTGTGTGTGTGTGTGTGTGTGTGTGTGTGTGTGTGTGTGGCTGCCGCTGCCAGCCCTGTCCCTCCCTCGGCCACAGGAGCAGCAGCACCGTGCCCCGTCCCCGGAGGAGACGCTTTGGGTGCTGCATGGCCAGAGGCAGGGCTTGCCAGGACTCCCTGCGCAGGCCCGTGGGGTCCGCATGGAAGGGCAGAGCCTGGCCCCAGCCCGGCAACAGCCTGGGCTCCTGGCACCCGTGGCACTTAGGGGACGAGTGCTTGCTGGGGTGCTCACGGCCCCCCAGCCAGAGCCCGAGTCCGCGTCCCTTTCTGCCACCCAGCACCCGTCCCCGCCACTCAGCCAGCCCTGCGCCATGGCTGGGCTTTGGGAAGGTGCAGGAGTGGGTGTCTAACTGCGAGCGGCCCCCGGTCTGCACCGGCACGTGCTTCCCTCCAGCCCCCTGCTGCCCTCACTGCTGCCTCCAGAAGCCACGGGGGCTCTTCTGCGCAAGAGTACCTGGAGAGCACCGCACCAGGGAAGTCTAGCTCAGCATCATGATGGAGACTCATCCCTGGCCGTCAGGGAGGACAAGTTGTTGCCCTGGGGGGAGGGCGCCTGGCAGGCCGTGTGTGGCAGAAGCACCCTGGGGAACGACCCACAGCGGGCACTTGGGCCAGCCAGCGCAGGGAAGGCATGCGAGGCCGCAGCTTCTAGGCGGCTCTCAAGGCCTGGTGGCCGTGGCCAAGGGCAGCCTCCTGACTGCAGGGCTGTGGAGCACAGCCCCAGCCACAGCGGCCTCTCCCGCCAGCCTCCCCCCCTGGGGTTGGGGGAGGGTGCGCCCCGGCTGTCAGGCTCTGGGCAGCCTCAGGTATGCACCAGTCTCCCCGCGGCACCTGCTGCCCTAGCTAAGGGGCCCTGAGAGCCCAGCTGGCCCTGCCACCCGGCCCTCCCGAGCACCCGCCATGGGCGCCCCCCAGCCCACCCCACTGGCAGTGCCCCCGACTGCTGGCTGTTTGTGGGCAGCAGACTGAGGGGTACCCCAAACCGCACGCGCTAAGTGGGCTCTGTCATCTGCTGCATGAAGACAAAGCAGACGCTTCGTGGGACAGCTTTAACAGCAGTGCACGCCCGGTCAGATGCCCACAGCCCCAGCCCTCGTGGGCAAAGCCCAGCCAAGCACAGGGTGGTGTCACTGAGGCCGAAGGCCTGCACCGCGTCCAGGGCACCTTCTGGGGGCACCCGCGAGAGGGGTGGCCATCGTGGAGGAGCAAGAATGAACGGGGGCGGGGGGGCTGCCCTCACCAGCCCCTGGGGCCTCTCACCCAGGGCTCTCCGGAGTCTGGGCGGCTGGACTTCCGTGTTCCCATCCCCGGTTCCAGGTCCAGTGGGTGGCACAAGAGGGCCCTCTTCGGGGTCTGCCTGGTCTGCGGCTCTGCTGCCCACCCCAAGACCCCACACCCCCTCGCTCCCAGAGCCCAGCTGCACCCCTCCCAGGCGGCCTGGGCCAGGGCCCTACTACAGAGCTTCCGGTGCGGCCAGGGTCAGGGCCCTGCTGGGGACATGTCCTTGCAGCCCTCGCTCAGAGCTCCAAGCCGCTGCCTCCAGGTGATCCTGGGGTGGGGGGACGGGCCAAACGGCGGCGCCAGCCACTTGATCCCGGGCCTCAGGCCCAGTGGCCACGCCCCTTGCGGCCACGTGCCTTGGGGTCACACGCTAGAGCATCCCGCGATCCCCCATTCCCACGCACCCACCCTGCCCTGCCCCCGATTCTGCTAGCCCCGCAGGCTGGGGTCTCCGTGCAGGTTTGGGGCGCCTTTGAGGGCAAACAACAGACGGGAGGCGAACGGAGAGGCGCCCGATGCACAGGCCCTGGGGCTTGGAACTGACCCCACCGCGCGTCTCTCCGCAGGCCCCGGGACCAGGCCCGCCCTGCGCCGCGGCCACCCGCTATGTCCCCGAAGGGGGGGCCAGGGACTCGTGCAAATTCCAGGAGGGCCTGTGTCTGGGGAGGCGCATGGACAGCCCTGGGGGTTGGGGGACGGGGGGGGGGGGGGTGAGCTGGGGAGCTTTCAGCAGCCGTGACCCTCCCGGCCGTCCCCGTGCCGGCGGGTCTTGGGGTTTGCTGGGGGAGGCTGTCGCCCCAGTGCCCGGACTGCCCTGGGCACCTCATTCCGAGGCAACCGTCCGGGCGCCCGTTTTCTTTCGGTCCGCTCCCGACGTCTCTGCCGGCACGGGAAGCGCGGCCGCTCTGCACGTGGGCCCGGGGTCCTGCGCTTCTCCGGCCTCCAGCCGGGCCTGCGCTGGGCAGGGTCTTCGGGCCTCGGGTTCCCCTCCTGTCCCAATTGTGTGCCTGTGTTGTTCTTGCCTGTTGCTCCCACTGGAGCTTCTAGTCCATGTCCATGAACAGTGGGGCGGCCTCTCCCTGTGTCCTCACGGCCGTGGGGCAGGCCCCTGCCCGGCCCCGAGCTGAGTCTCGCTTCCGCCCCCACCAGGCGGTGGACAGCCTGGGCTGCCCGCTGTGCCTCTGCTGTCCAGCTGGCTGCGTGGCCGGGGAGGGCGTGTGTGCTGTGGCCGTGGGGCAGTGTGTGGGGGGGGTGTCTTAGCCCGTCCTTTGGTGCTCGTTCCTGCGGCCTCCGCTGGGCGACCAGCTCACACCGCTTCCCCTACTCAGGGGCTCCCCGTGGCGGTGGCGGCCCCCTCCGCGGCAGAGGCCTTGCCACAGCCGTCCTGACCCTGCTGCGCTGGGGGCGTGGGCGCCCTCCTGGCCCAGCATGGCTGTGGGGTCCCGGCACGTGGGGTCTGCCTGGGGCTTCTTGGTTGCTGCTGGGGGGGGGGCGGGGGGCGGGTCTGCGCCCCCGTCCGGAGGTGGGTGGGTCCAACGGCCACCATCTCGGTGAACAGGCCCCGCGCCCTCCGAAAACCTGGCTGGGGGAGCGCCTGTCTCCCGCCTGAGCGCAGCCAGTCTCCTGCTGGAGCCGCAGGCTGGGGCACTGGGCAGAGGGTGCGCCCCGAGGGCGGGGACAGAGGAAAGGGACGGTGACGCCGGGTGCTCGGAGAAGCGGGAGGGCCGTGTGCCAGGCGACCGTCCCTGGGTGCACGGAGTCCTTCCCACCCCAGCATCTGAGTCCCACTGGGGCCCTCCCGGCAGCCCCTAGGATTTTCCCGGAGGCCAGCCTCTGGCGACATCTTCCTTTCGTTCATCTGGAGACCCCTCCGAAGGCTGTGCGGTCTGGGCTCATTGTCCTCGGCCCCCACCGCGGAGCCGCAGCACCCCCCGGGCCGCACCCCTCCCCCGAGCCCGTACCTGCGGGGTCCACTCCCCTGGTGCCGGGAGCTGCTCTGCTCTCGGGCCTGTGGCTCCTGCAGCCCCATCGGTGCGTCAGACCCTCCTAGCTATGCCTCCTCCCTCCTCCTGGGGCCTGGGCCCTTCCCGTGGGCCTCTGCTCGCGCCCGAGGTCCCCTCTTGTCTCCCCGTTTTCCTTCTTTCCTCTCTGCCCCGCGAGGCCGAGGATTCCTGTGATGTGACTTTGAGTGGGAGAAGCCCCCTTCGCTGCGTCTGCAGCCTGCGGGTCTTCGCGTGAGTGCTTCCTGCGCTCCTGGCGAGCGGCCGAGTCCTCACCGTGGCCTCCCTGGTGTCCCGGAGGCCCCAGGACAGCGCCCGGCGGCCACGCAAGCCCCTCGAGCTGGGAGTTTCCTGAATGCCTTGATGAAGACCCGGGTGGTGCCGCCCCCCATGGTCTCAGTGCGGGCGGGCAGGCCTCGAGGCCGCCGGGCTCCCGGGAGCCAGCACCCTCAGGCCCCGCAGCCGCAGCCGCAGCCGGCGTCCACATGGCCGGTCAGTGGCGGGCTGACGGCACCGGTGCCGCAAGCCGTCTGGGAAAGCGCTTCCACACGAGGCCCCGTCCCGGACAGCCGGCACTCCCGCGGGTGGGGCGCACACGCCTGTCCCCGCAGGGATGCCGGGCTCCTTGATAAGCTATGTCCAGGCGTGAAAACCTACCGTGTTTGGAATTAAATTTGTGGGGGAATTTGAGTGGAGATTAGTTTAGGAAAATCAGCCCAACTGCTGCTGACCAACAGGTGGCGTCCCAGACAGCT